CCCAGCTGGCTGCAAGGCTGGGACACAGAGGCCACTGGCTCTCACTGGGGAGCCAGCATTTTATTTTGGTAAGTTGGTGGCTTTTTTTTTCCTCCAATGATTCCATGCATAATTATGGAAAACACCATTTTGTGGTTCCCACAAAAAAAAAAAAAAAAAATCAGAAAATTGCAATTTGAGTAGATTCCTAGCTATTATATATACACTGATTCTAGATGTTTCAGGTTAGTTAATTAACTCAAGCTCAAAAAATGTGGTTACTTTCAGGAAGCTGCAAAACAATTTTGTTCTCAGAAACAGCTGCTTTCAAAGAGTTTGGTAGGTCTTAACTCTGCCATCTTTCAAGTTGAACAGTATCTTGTACATCAAAATGACTCATCTGGAACATGTGTTGCCTTAAGCATTTGTCTGTCTTTAGATCCCATACAGTAAATGTCATTAAAAACAGAAATTTACAGTATTCAATATTAATGCAAAAATGTAGGTTTTTAAAGTCATTTTGAAATACTAAATACATAATGAGTTAGCTCATTCTTGCATTAATTTTCAATATAAACTTCATACTTAGGTTCTGAATAAAAAAAAATAGTAATATTCATGTGGACATTTCTTACATACAGTTTTCAATTAAGTTTTCAGTATTTGTCATCTCCATGAGCACTATTTTATTTAATGCTCTCTAAAGTTAAAACACATGCAAAATCCATTCACTAGTTTTATTAGTTATATGAAAAATCCCTCTTTCAAAAGGAAATAGAAACAAAATACATCATTAGGACAGAGCTAAGATTAAGATTCAAAACCCGGTTAATAAAATGCTCTAGGTAAAAACTCGCTACAAGCTCTAAAAAATCATAAGGTGTTTAAACACTTCAAACAGCAATTTAATTTGGCACTTTCCTCGTCCTCAATTTATAAATGAATAATTCAGTTATCTAGCCCACTTTACTTCATCTATACTTCCAATATGGCAAAAGCATGTCACTTTTTTTTTTTTTTTTTTTTTGAGGCATAGCGAGATATTTCAGCACCCAGGACAGGAGGAGAGGGGACTATGCTCCCCTCTTAGGGGCAAAGGGAGGGAGACAGGGCAAGGGGAGGGGGAGCAGAATCACAACTGGTCTTGCTCTCTGCACTCAGGTGGCAGGTGCTACAGCTCCTGCTGGAGCAGCATGAAATTAGGCTGGTGCATCATCCTGGATGGTGCAGACTCCACAGGGTTCACTCCTGATGCCCTGTTCATTCCCTCTCCTCATTCACCCCCAGATATGCTCCTAGGTGCAGGGCTGTGCCTCTGACAGCAAAGCCTCCTATGTGGTAGCATTGCCTCTCTCCTATGGGGTTGCACCTGCCTGGCTTCTATGACCAGGATGCTCTTGCTGTGGAAAAGACTCCTGGGTGGGAGGGAAGGGGGCCATAATGATGCCCCTTCCAAGTTGGCAACCAGGGTTCGTGTCCTGCTTGCCGCCTGAGTTACACTATTGCCATTTTCAATTATGCTGCATTACGTACCAGCTCTGACCAGCCACATGCCAGGGTGCACAAGAAGCTCATTCTTGCATTCATTTTCAATATAATCCAGAGAATTTTATCAATCATAGTAGTCCAAAGACCATACCCTTCCTTATCCAGTCAACCCCATTCCACTTTAATTTTTCAGTTTGTATAACAAAGGTGAATTGTCTGCTCAAATTTCCTATAGGTGCCATCAACCAATTGATCTCTTCTTACTTTCATTGTTCTACACATGCAGTCAACACACTTCAGAATACGCTATGCACCTTACGCTCATCTTTATTTCTCAGCTATTTTCTTCCAGAGAGAGAGATGCCTATGGACCCTTATTGGAAGCCTTCTTGGTATCATGCTGGACACAACTGCCAAGTTTGGTTTGTCCTCACCACCTTTCACTTAGGTGGCTTCTCAAATCATATAATAATCTTTGGAATCAAGTTATGTCCTATGCCTCTCTTGTCCAACTGGTCAGATAACTGCTTATGGTAAAGTCAACAGGAGGCAGGTATCAGCAAGCAGCTAGTCACAGACATATTCTGGCATTCTATCATATGGCTTAAATCCCAAAGATATAAGAATCTTATCTTGATATGCCTGATACACATTGGATGCATCTACACAAGATGTTTATTGCACAGTAGCCTAATAACACTGCACAGTAGCATGCCAATCAAAAAACATGATAAGCTACTGTGCAGTGTTATTAGGCTACTGCACAGTAAGCATTACAAAAAAAAGTGCTACAGTAGTTACTGCACATTTAGTTAGTACTTCATTGAGCAAATACTAAACTAAATGCGCAATAACTACTACGCATTAATGAACATGTAGGTGTGTGCACTTTGTCTCTAATCATGATCACTTTATATCCAGAGTAGATTGGAAAAATTGGTGCAAACTCATATCACCTCACAGCCAAAGAGCAGAATTCATGCACAAAGCAGAGCAAATATAACATTGGTGGACAAGAACCAAACCACTTGTGAAAGTGACTGCAATGAAATATCACAAGATTTGAGCCCCACACTTCAAGAAAAAATGTGGACAGATTAGAAACAGTCAGAGAGCAGGGGACTGGACTAACATGACCTCCTGAAGTCCCTTTCCAGCTCTACTTTCCAATGATCCTTTTCCTATGACCCTAAGTTTCTAAACTAATATATTCTATTAGTATGGCATTTCCAATGCATGAGCAATGTATTCCCAACCTAACCTCTATATTAAAGGCAAAAAAAGGCTTGGGATTTATGCACAAGTTTATTTGCAGTGGTGACACTATACAGTCTATAATACACTGACAAGGCAACTGTCAATCTTTCTGGATCATGGTGTATGCATAAGAGGTCACCAGAACCTGTGATGCATATGCCTAGGCATGAGTATGGAGGAATGGAGGCTGTCCAGACCTCCCATTCCACCTTTAGATCATTGAGACAGAATCCAAAGGCCAGGTCAAGTCTGGATGTTTGGTGCCTCAGTGGCTGTAGTTATATGCATGTCCAGGAAGTGTTGGTTTTTTTTTTTTTTTATATTCAGTTCTAAAATAATTACCAGTATAAAGATGGAACTTGAACCTCTTCTATACTTTGCACTTCATGTGGTCATTCACATGTATGCAAAGTGAATTCAACCTGGATATAATTTATTTTACCAAACCAGAATGGTAGCATTTCACATAAGTTTTACACTGGTATAAATGTCACAAAAAGCTGTGGAAGATTAAGTCCTTTTACTTTAAGAAATTATTATTATTATTTTAAATAAAAGCTCTTTGCAATATATTTGGATAATAAAAGAGGCTTTACTTTTGGAAGGAGCTGGATTGCCTGCAGAATTCTTTGTCTGTGTCCAGAGTTAAGTATTCCTATTTCCAACAGATCCTGATCCTCCATTACATTGCTTCCCTGAAAAAAAAAAAAAAAGATAGTATAAACCTTTTTACTGCATTTAAAATAGAATGTTCTGCTTAGCTGAACCATGGAAAATTACTAGATTGGTGGCAGCACTACAAATGGATAGACTGTAGATCCCATTAAAAATAGAATCCATATATGACATCTTCCCCTTTCATTTGATGTGAAGAGGGACCTAGGTAGAAAATTGAACAGAAAGCATTTGTTTTCCAAGCCACCTTTTGCTCGCTTTTTTTCCCCCCCAAGATGGAATTAAAAAAAACATAGCACACAATAGGATCAACACAACAGATTCAGTTAAAATTATTTAGCAATTTGCTAGTAAAAATGCCTTCCTTTGAAATTAATTCAACTCTACACCACAGCATATGTGGTGATCAACACACATGCTTATTAAGAATATACATTATAAAGTGAGAAAACATCATCATCAGGGCTGGTATTATGGGTGTGCTGAACATGTAGTACCCCAGTTACATCATCTCCCTACCTAATGCATTCTAGGGAAGGTCAAGAACCTCCAGAGTACAGGCAACAGAAAAAGCCTGGGTACTCAAGGAATCCGGCAGCTAAAAAGACAAATCCTCATGCTTCAAGACCCTATTCTTGGAAATGGGCTGCTGAAGGAGAGCAGCTACATACATAAGTGTTTACTAAGGACCTTGAGTTCTTTAGAGGTGAACAACAGAGTATGCTTAGAGGAAAGGCAATAAAATGGACACATTTACCAGGCTGATATTTGCTGGACACCAATTTGATCATTTAATGGTTGAGAACCCAAATGGATTGCAGTGGGTATGAGAAATCAAAGGAAGAAGACTGGAAGCTCAAGCACCGAGTTGTACCCAGAGAATCAAATTAAGATGTGTTGCGTTGGGTTGCCAACTTGGCATTTTTCTTTTTCTTTTAGGCAGGCATTATTCTAGAAAGATCTTGGCTTCCATGGAAAAAACATTTAGCCACTATGGTTGTGAAGAAAACTGTCAAAATATGAAGTGCTTTTATGATCCCTTACCTTAATTTAAGCCCTAGTTATACCAATCAAGAATACAAGACTTGGTATTGTTTGCATTCTTCTAATGAATCACTATCCACGTAGAGACCTCAAAACATATTCCATCCCTCCATTATCTTACAATCTAAAACTCAGATTCAGTAAAGTACTTAAGCCCTACTGAAGTCAATAGGATTTGTTTACATGCTTAATGATGAAACACATACTGAAGTGCTTTACTGCACCAGGGTCTAAGAAAAGCCAGCAATGGTTTAAGCCTACACAGTGAAAAATTCTCAAACCAACAGCTGTATGACAAAGTCTTCCTCCATTAAACACAACCCAGTAATAATTGCCTGATCCTTTTTAGCTACTAAATCTTTACTCTTCCCGAATGTGCTAGACAATTTACAGAAACGTGCCATGGGACTCCCATATATCATTTTGAAGTATCTTGTACCATAGCTTGTAAAATCCAAGAGTTGCCATTTTAAGGAAATCATGGAAACTTTAAACAAATATTATATTTAAAATTATATTGCACAGCATACTATTATGCTTTAAGACTACACAGCTACATAACAAGTTCTGGAAAAAAATCTTTTGTGTACAAAATCCTTTTTCCATTTCTTTCATGTACTCATCTGTCTTAAAACTGTTTCTATATCTTTGAGGCAAGGACTGGGAGAAATCTATATATTGAGCCAGACCTGCAGATGGTATAAACAGGTATAACAAATGGAGACATGCCAATTTGGGCCATATGAGGATTGATTCCTCATTTGAATTATACATATAAATGTGATTTAAATAAAATCTAGCTTCTGCCTTATCTTGTTTATGAACTATTTCTACCACCCCCCTTATCTAGCTGTTTGTCAGATTTTTTCCTTGATTTTTCTCATCGTGTATTTATATGCTGCCACAGCAGAACTCATCATTGAGTTACTGAGCATTGTTTACTAGTACAAGTAACCTTGACATCCCACTTCAAATCTTGATACACTTAAAGCCCAATTCTGTAGACACTTATGCATGTGAGAAATCACATATATCTGCAGGATCAAGTCCTTGCCACATAGCAGAGAAAGTATAATTATATTTATTTCTTATTACTGCTTTTCCTTTGCATATTGGCTTGCTCAGAATTTTTCACATTAAATTTTAATGTAGATATTACATTTAAAAAGCTGTACATTCAAAATGTTAAGCTTGCAATATCATGCAATCAAAAGTTAAGAAATGCCAAAATTTATACTGCCCAAGTGTGCCCAGTTATAGAAGTGTAGGACTTGATTTCTTAGTGTGCTTAGGCCAGTAGTTCTCAACCTTTTTACATTCAAGGCACTGCTCAATAGACTCAAGGCACCCCAGGAAAAAAAAGCCAGCTCTTAGTTTTAACTCTTTAAAAAACAAACAAACAAAACCCTACAGAAAACTAGAGCATTTTTGTTGCAAGAACTCAGAAACACCACAATGGGTCAGAACATTTTTAAAACTATGAATTTCTGTTTGAAATACCTGAGTTTATCTTGTGAATCATGTTTGCACAACTAACAATACTACCATTGTGCAGAATAACCTTGAAAGGATCTCAAAGCACTCCAGGGTGCCCCAGTACTGGTTGAGAATCACTAGCTTAGGCTTTGTAGCAATTTGTGTGTATGAAAAGAGCATTCACTGATGTGGCCTGCAGGCAAGGCCCTATGAGGAGACTGAGGGACCTAGATCTCTTCAGCCTTTGCAACAGAAGCCTGAGAGGTAATCTTGTGGCTTTCTATAAATTCGTCAGGGGAGGGCAGCAGGGAATTGGAGATACTCTATTTACTAGGGCACCCCCTGGTGTAACTAGGAACAATGGCCACAAATTGATGGAGAGCAGATTTAGGTTGGACCATTAGAAAGAACTTCACAGTAAGGGTTGCCAGAATCTGGAATGGGCTTCCAAGGGAAGTGGTGCTCTCCTCTGCCTTGGGGGTCTTCAAGAGGAGACTGGACAAGCACCCAACTGGGGTCATCTGACCCCAGCGCTCTTTCCTGCCCAGGGCAGGGTGTCAGACTCAATGATCTACTTAGGTTCCTTCTGACCCTAACATCTATGAATCTATGTATGGAGCAGTTGGTGCTCATCTCCTTCTGCAGATCAGACCTTGCATTGGTTGGCTAGGAAGTGAGAAACACAATAGATACCTGTATAAAAATTTAATTGATATACACTTCCCAAGTATCACATAGAAACTCTTTGGAAGATAATGGGATTGAAGTCAGTTTTCCAGAGTGATATTCAACTATTTTCCCTGTGAGGCTGTCTGTCTTCTTCCCTCAGTCCTCTGCCAATTTCCAGGTTCTGCAACAAGGCAGGGGTTTTACAGTAACAACTTTATTTACAACAAAAACATGATACATTCAGATAAAGCCTGTATCATAACAAACATGCATAGAGAGGTTAATTTAAGGTTGCACTTCCCATCTTTGTTCTAGCTTTTCCTTAGTTCTGAACACTTGATTTTGCCATCTCAATACCCTATTAACATAGATTTTGGAGGAATATTATCAAGTTTCTAAAAAGACAAACACACTTTAAAATAGAAAAAAACCCCACCAAAAGCTTAATCCTGTGGAACCATAGTGATATCCCAAGTTGGGTCAGCAGCACCAAAAAGCCCTTTATATTCATCACACAATGCTTTCCATGTAATGTTGTGGAGGAACTTGATAGTAGTAGAAAGCTGTTATCTTCTGTGAGGCCCCACTGACTAGAGGGGAATGGAGGTACAAACTTGGATTTCACAACTATTTGTAAATAGGACATTTGAGAAAAATTGACCCACCCACTGTGACCCACTCCCACTACTTCTATCCTTACCCTTTCATGACATTTGTTTGTATGCTGCTTATCCTCCCATCCCTCACTTGCGCCCCTTTTCACATTTTTGCTCCTAGCTCCACAATTTCCGGCCACTTTGATCCTGCCCTGGTCCCTCCCACACAAATTCCTGTTCCTATCTCCCTTTCATTGCATCATCACTCCATGCAATTCCTCACTCAGCTACATTTAGGTCAGGTGCAAGCCTCCTCCTCTTCTGCATTGCCTCAGTGCTAATAAACTAAGCATTGAAAGGACAAGAGAGAGAGTCTCTGTTTTGTTCTCCCCTGCTGAAACCAATGTCACAGTATCCCTTCCTCGCCACCCTCCCTCTACAACCAGGAGGAGCAATTTCAGAAAAAGTCTTGTTCTGGATGCAGATGACTGAGGTCATCTACAGAAATGGTGTACACATTTGGGTCAGCACACATAAACTGTGAAAAGATGCAGCATGATCAGAGCAGACAGAATTTGAAAACCAAACTCTAACACATCTCTGCTCAAATACAGGTTTGTTACTCCAAACTTGGGTCACTGTTTAGAGAAGGCAAAGACATATTCTAGTACTAGCACCTCCTGCTTCCTCTGTCCACTTCCAAAGACTGATAGATTTTTGAGGCCAACAAAGGATCATTATATCATCTAAATATCTGTAGATCACAGGCCATTACATTTCATGCAGATATCCCTATGCTGAGCCTGCTAGCTTGTGTTTTGCTAAAGCTTATCCTCTAGAAAAGCATCCAATTTTGATTTGATGACAAAATGAGATGTATGCAACTGAAAACAGGAACTTTTAATGGTAAATGTTAGGGAATCTTAACTATGGGATCATTATCTATACTACCTATAATGAAAATATGAAAAATGTTACAAAACTATAGGTTTCTTAACCCTGTTCTATAGTCTATAGCAAATTATTTCAGCTTTGAAATGAAACAGAAATAATCTATTAAAACAGTTTCTAGTAGATCAGACTTATAGCTCATTTACTTCTATTTATATTGGTGGGACTCCATTCACAAATCTTCTTCCTGATCAATTCATATGGAAATATAATGATTTATGCAGATAAAGCTCTAATTTAGCATGTGGTAAACTTTTTGAATTATAAATTCTATTTGTGGTTTG